GGAGACGTTTTGATGCAGACTCAGAGAGTAGTAACATATGTCTCACAGCAATTGAGAGTACATGAGCAGATCTATTTCCACTTATGACTTGGAGTTAGCAGCAGTGGTATTTGCACTGAAATCATGGAGACTTTACTTATATGAAGTATAGTTTGAATTATTCACAGACATCAGAGTCTTAAGTATCTTTTCTCTCAGAAGGAACTCAACCAGAGACAAAGGAGGTGAACTGAGTTTATCAAGGACTACGAGTCCGTGATTCAGTATCATCTGGGGAAGGAAAATGTTGTAGCAGATGACTTGAGTAAGAAACGTCAACATCGGGTTTCGGCTTAGAGGTGCTCGTTGTATTGAGATATTCTTACCCTTATCTAGTGTGATTTTAGACATGAGATTGGTAGAACCAGTGCATTGTAAGGAGCTGTGTCAGTGCAGCCAGCTTGGAGTATCAGAGTTGTCAGAACTCAGTTAGAAAACTATTAAATTAAGATCCAAAAGGAGGAAATTTACAAAGAGCCTATGGCTGATTGGACCGTTGGAGCAGATGGAAGTCTACAGAGGAAGGACAGGTTGGTTATGCTAGCCAATACAGAGCTTAAGAGGCAGTCGCTAGATGAAGCATATCATACTCGGTACACAGTGCATCCAGAGACCCCTAAGATGTAAAAGGACCTAAAGAGACACTCTTGGATAGAGTGATATGCGTAGGAAGATTTCAGAGTATGTAGCTAAGTATCTTACCTGTCAGTGAGAAAAGGAGGAACATCAAAGACCGAAAGGAACACATCAGCCTTTACTGTAGGCGTCAAAAATTGCTTATAGGTCCCCACACATGGCTCGAGGCAGAGAGAAGACAATGAACATTGCTATTCAAGTCACAGAAGCTTAATCGACATCGACAAGTACATGAAATAAGTCAACGAACTGTGCAAAGCTACGAAACTTTGGAATAACAGGAACGAAAGGTGATCGGGAACCCCGCCGTCGTTTACGAAAGGTGGAACACCCTACATGCCTCATCTATTACACACACGATTCAATCATTGGAGCTTATATATCTCCTCGCTAGCTTTCTAACGCACTTTGAATCACTCAAATTCGAGTTCGGATGAAGAAGTTACGGCGGAAATAGACAAGCATGCAAAACGGACTGTCTCAGCCTAAGCTAAGACACCCCAAGGTGTCTCGGCCTCACTGAGACACCCAAGGGTGTCTCCAGCCTTAAAAATTGGCCATTATGTAGTTTTAACCATCCAAACTTCCTGAAGCCTATAAATACAGCCCCAGGGCCTTCATTTTTTTAGATCCGGAATTCTCGACCGTTGGCGAAGCCCTGCTGGACTGAAGACTGAAGGTGCACGAATTTTAGAGAGGAGGAGGAGAGATCGGATTGAGTTCATTGGCATAAAGAAGAGGAGCTCATCAGATCTACAGTTCTCATGTTCGTCCCTTAAGATTACCCCGTTGTGGTGATCTTAAGAAGAGCAATTATCTCGCTGTTGCCAAGATAAGCGCTACGGTTTCTTGATTCCTTCGCGAATTAACGAAGCTCTGCCTAATTTTTCAGCAATCAGATCTGATCAACGGTGGTCCACAGATATCAACATCCCTTCACAGGCCAAGATCCCACGTAAGTAGCGGGCGATAAACACCTGTAGTGTTTGTTTGAAGAGAGTTGTATTTTTTATTTTTTCATTGTGTAAGAAAGTCTTATAAAAAGACTAATTTTACTTTGAATCTATAATCGATAAACGTGTAATAGATTCAGTAATGAAGAAATTAACTTTTACCACAAACAAACTGAAGACCACAGTGCGAGCCAACGGCCTCGCTGCCGAGGCTGTCGTAACGCAGTCGACGATCAAGATCCCCGTAGCTGAAGAGGTCGAGTACGAATTCAACCAGCAGAAATTTGAAGAGTACATCTCCCCCTCCTGCTCCAGATCTGCTCCTCCTCATAAGCGCAGGAAGATCTCCTCCTCCCAGAAGATCCGCTGGTCTCCAGATCTGAAGACCCAAGAAGTCGATCTCCACGTTGTCGTTGCTATAGTTGCACCTTGCAACAATCCGCCTACATCCAATGAGACCAGATCTGTAGATCTGAACTCCTTCGTGATCAAGGAGCCGACTGCTGAAGGCGCGCCAACTCTATCAAAGAGAGCACGCCAAAGGAAATGCCAATGCCTCGCTCGCCAATTTGCCAAGGCTTTGGATCAGGTGGATGAACTCCATTACCAAGCAGATCTGGAGTTCAGAAAGCGCCAAGTGGCTAATCTATCGCCACGACCAGCATCGGAATCCTCCTCCCGACCTCTAATTAATGAATGGGTTCGTGTCAAACGAACCCGCTCTACTCTCGAGGAGCGAATCCAGAAGCACCGCGCCTTGCTTGCGCATGCCCGGACCCTTGTGCGAAAAGCACAGGAAATGCAAAAGGAAGAGACAGTTATGAGATCGCCAAGATCCAAACAAGTTTGGGTGCCAAAAGCCAAATTAGCGCCTAAGACAAAAACAAACGGAACTATCATTAAGATTTTGTTAACTTTAGATCCTGAATCTCCGGTAAAGCCCCACCGTAGCGTGGATTTCCCCAAGTTTAGGATTCCTCTGAAGGATCGCCTCGGTTCTCTACCTAAAGATCGAGGCAAAGCGCCTGTTAAGGAACACCTGGGACCATTGAAGCAACCCCGAGCAAACATCTAGACTGGGGGTCGTACACGACCTCCTAACAAGTTGATTTCTGCAACAGCCCGCTTGGGGGTGCGTGTAGAAAACCAGGAGCCCGTTAAGGTTTCGCCCTCACAAAGGGGTGATTCCAAACGAGTGACTCCTGTAGAGAGGAGGAGGAGAGATCGGATCGAGTTCGTCGGCATAAAGAAGAGGAGCTCATCAGATCTATAGTTCTCGTGTTCGTCCCTTAAGATTACTCCGTTGTGGTGATCTTAAGAAGAGCAATTATCTCGCTGTTGCCGAGATAAGCGCTACGGTTTCTTGATTCCTTCGCGAATTAACAAAGCTCTGCCGAATTTTTCAGCAATCAGATCTGATCGACGGTGGTCCACGGATATCAACATCCCCGTCACAGGCCAAGATATTTTTCAGCAATCAGATCTGATCGACGGTGGTCCACGGATATCAACATCCCCGTCACAGGCCAAGATCTCACGTAAGTAGCGGGCGATAAACACCCGTTGTGTTTGTTTGAAGAGAGTTGTATTTTTTATTTTTTCATTGTGTAAGAAAGTCTTATAAAAAGACTAATTTTACTTTGAATCTATAATCGATAAACGTGTAATAGATTCATCAATGAAGAAATCAACTTTTATCGCAAACAAACTGGCGACCACAGTGGGAGCCAACGGCCTTGCTGCCGAGGCTGTCGTGCCGCAGCCGACGATCAAGATCCCCGTGGCTGAAGAGGTCGAGTACGAATTCGACCAGCAAAAATTTGAAGAGTACATCTCCTCCTCCTGCTCCAGATATCCTCCTCTTCACAAGCGCAGGAAGATCGCCTCCTCCCAGAAGATCCGCTGGTCTCTAGATCTGAAGACCCAAGAAGTCGATCTCCACGTCGTCGTTGCTATAGTTGCACCTTGCAACAATCCGCCTGCATCAAATGAGACCAGATCTGTAGATCTGAACTCCTTCGTGATCAAGGAGCCGACTGCTGAAGGCGCGCTAACTCTATCAAAGAGAGCACGCCAAAGAAAACGCCAACGCCTCGCGCGCCAATTCGCCAAGGCTTTGCATCAGGTGGATGAACTCCATTACCAAGCAGATCTGGAGTTCAGAAAGTGCCAAGTGGCTAATCTATCGCCACGACTAGCATCGGAATCCTCCTCCCGACCTCCAATTAATGAATGGGTTCGTGTCAAACGAACCCGCTCTACTCTCGCGGAGCGAATCCAGAAGCACCGCGCCTTGCTTGCGCATGCCCGGACCCTTTTGCGAAAAGCACAGGAAATGCAAAAGAAAGAGGCAGTTATGAGATCGCCAAGATCCAAACAAGTTTGGGTGCCAAAAGCCAAATTAGCGCCTAAGGCAAAAACAAACGGAACTATCATTAAGATTTTGTCAACTTTAGATCCTGAATCTCCGGTAAAGGCCCACCGTAGCGTGGATTTCCCCAAGTTTAGGATTCCTCTGAAGGATCGCCTCGGTTCTCTACCTAAAGATTGAGGCAAAGCGCCTGTTAAGGAACACCTGGGACCATTGAAGCAACCCCGAGCAAACATCCAGACTGGGGGTCGTACGCGACCTCCTAACAAGTTGATTTTTGCAACAGCCCGCTTGGGGGTGCGTGTAGAAAACCAGGAGCCCGTTAAGGTTTCGCCCTCACAAAGGGGTGATTCCAAACGAGTGACTCCTGTAGATGCCAACAAGGCAACATTTATTCAGAAGAAAACGCGTCAGACAGACGAACACGTTATACCTGAGAATTCATGTAAACAGCCGATAGGTTGCTCTGACTGCTACATCGATGAGTTGTACTATCGGGCTAGGGGTATGAATAAATCTCAAAAGAAAAGTACCCGGGAAGCGGACTCTCACTGTTCGTGTACCAAAATAATCAGGGTAGTATTATCAGTGTGTAGCTACCCCAAGACCGCTCTACAGAGAGTCTCGATCCAATCAAAAGCGTCTCCGTAAGAAACGATCAGTCGTTCAAGGTGACGAACCCCCAGAGGTTACCATCAATATGGTTGATAAGGGAAAATCGATTCGACCTTCTAGCTCTGATCCACTTGTATCGCATCGTCTAACTCGGTTACGATCAGGAACTATTAGATAAAAGGGATTATCAAAGAATGCAGAGAGGGTTATCCTCGGATGATGAAGCATCGGATGCTAACTCGGCAATCGTGTCTGATAATACGGTATCCAGTTCGGGAAAATCCCGTGAAGTGTTTGTGATTAACACCGAGGAAGTAGCCAAAATGGTTGAGGATGCCTTGGCCAAACAAAAAGAGAACTTCAAGTTCGAAATGGAAATGGCCATGATGCGAATGAGGGAAGAGCATGATCAACAAATTCGGGTCTTATCCAATCAATTCAGTGAATCCAGCCGTCGCAACCTTACTAACCAAGCAGGTAACAATTCAGAGGTGGATGAACGTCTCAATGCTGAGAACCCTCCCTTTGACCAGAACATTGGGGGTGGTCCCATCGAAGACAACAATACTGGGGGTGGTCCCACCGAAGATAACAATACTGGGAGTGGTCCTGTTATTCCTCTCAGGAATCGTCCAAGATCTGATACAGACGAGGACGAGAAAATAATGGACCTTGGGAGCAAAATCAACACGCTGATGTCTGCTCAGGGGATAAAAAGGACCAGTATTCTGTCTCCCTATCCAAGAAAGTGGGATTCAATTCCGTATCCGGCAAAGTTCAACCTGATCAACTTTATGCCGTTCGACGGGAAAGGCTCGCCCACTCAGCATCTGATCTACTTCAAGTCCCACTTGGGTATGATCTCCGATAATGAAGCCTTGATGGTTCGGTCATTCGTTGGCACCCTTCGTGGGCCTGCCTTTGATTGGTACCGCCGTCTCAAGCCTGGAAGCGTCAACAGCTGGGAAGACCTGGAGAGCATGTTCCTCGCTCATTTCTTCGATGATGACGCCAAAGTGTCAATCAGGGCACTCTTCGATGAGAAACAGAAAGACGGAGAGTCAGTGGATACCTTCATCAAACGATTCCGCAATCAGGCAATGAACTGCAAGGATCCCGTCACGAAGGAATTCGTCTTGCAGACTTGTCATAACAACTTGTCCATTAACATCTTGGTCGTTATGGGAGTAGAGCCGCTCAATACCTAGAAGGAGTTGAAGGTGCGCGGAGAGCAAGTCGAACGCTTCCTCAGAAGGAAGAAGGTCGAAAGAAGGCAACTGATGGCTAACCCTCTGAATCCGAGTCTTGTTTCATATGATGAAGGGAAGGCACCTATAACAGTTGTTGACGTTAATCAGACGTCGCAACAGCAACCCTGAAGATAGCAGAAGACTTCGGATATGAGGCTCCAAAAAGAGTACTCATTCAAGGACGAAGACATTCCAACCATCTACGAGACCCTTCTTGAAAATAACAAGATCAAGCTGCCACCTATTACGAATCAGGAGGAAGCTGACAATACTGCGGATCCAAAGTACTGTGCGTACTACAGGAGGATCCTTCATCCCTGTTCGCGGGGAAAATCGTCTTTGTTGAAGTCATTGTTTTCTTGAGCAACAAATTATCGATTACAAAAGATCCGGCCTTTTTATAAGATCCCGTAACAACAAAATCAAACAAAGAAAAAAGATTACAACTTTCCTTCTTTCGGAACAAATCGCAAGATCCTGTTTTGCGGTCTCTTGCTTGTGTGGGTTCTTTGCCTGCGCCGGGGTTAATCCGTGGACCACCGTGCGATCTTGATCCGGTCGAATCTACACGGTATGACGGGTACTATTTCACAAAGGAAATAACAGCCGAGGGGATTATTTCGCTAAGGAAATAATAGCCCTAAGTAATCGAAATCGACCAAGCGAAATCGATACTCTTTTCGGGATAAAAAACCAAGTTTTGATCCGGAGGATGACCGTGTAGATCTCAGATCTGATCTCTATCGAACTCCTGCCTTATTTGGCGTGGATGATCGCCAAGAACCAGATCTAAAAAGTCCGAGTCTTTAAAGCTCCAAAGCTCTAACCTTTTTTAGTCTTGAGCCTTTAATCCAGCAGAGTTTCCCCTCAGGAGTTCCACCAAAAGTCCAACCCCCTAAACAATGAGCCTTCAAGTCTATTTATAGGCACCTCAAACCATATCTGGGCTCAGATCTGGGCCCAGATCTGGGCTCGGCCACCTAAGTGGCTCGGCCAGCTACCTAGGTGGCTCGGCCACCTAGGTGGTTCGGTCAGCCACCTAGGTGGCTCGCTCAGCCACCTAGGAGTGGCTCGCTCAGCCACCTAGGAGTGGCTCGGTTTTGGCCGAGCCCTCCAGGTGTTTACTTCTTCGCCCATTTTCTGGTTTCGCGGTTTATCCGAACTTCATTGTTGATCTGGACTCTGATTTGGCAGTCCGGATCCTGAGTTGGCAGTAAATCTGCTTTGGTGTTCGAGTTCGATTCCGCTCCCGATCTTGTTTGATGTGGTGGACTCTACGGTTGGATGACTCGTTGATTCATCGACCCGTTAGCTTGATTGGGCACGCGATTGGATGTATTCCGTTGTTTGCGTGCGGTTCGTTAACCTCGTCACCTCGTTAATCCGCTTCGTCGCGTGTCACTTGGCTTCGGTGTTGTGGTCTAACGATCATGCTTGGATATATCGCCCGATGGTTCATTGGTTTATCGAATCACCGTGCCGAGCTGTGTTAAGGGACCTGATAATCATATTTTATTACAATTTTATACCCTTATTATCTAATTTATATGAATAAATATATCACTAATAATTGTTTTTATCTTTTAATTGCAGGTTAATGAAGAATAAATCTCAAACTCTCATCTCTCAACAAAAACCCATCGATTAAATGAAGAAATGAATCAAAGAAGACCATTGGAAAATCAATTTCCAAAATATCCAAAAGTCCAGAATCAAGCCGAGTAGCCTATAGAAGCCGGAGAAAATCAAAAATCCAATATGAAAAGAAATCATATTCAAAATGGTTGGCCATAAAGAAACGACGATATCTCCAATTCCGGAAGGCGGAATTTAATATATAATATATGAAAATCGCCTATCTCGACGAGACGAAGCCAACCATGAAGTCAGATTTTTTATTGGGGCATCGATGCCAGCATCGATGCAGGCATCGATGCCGGTATCGATGTGACGTCCTCCAGATTTTATCAACGGCAGAAATTGTATTCTTGGGGCTCAAGTTTGATCCAATGACTCTCATTCACTGATGTTTACTATAAATAGGGGTTGAGAGTGAGGGGTTAGAGGTGTGAAAATTTTTGTAACTCTTTTTGGAGAGGAGGGCTACTCTTAATTGAGAAGGCCTTCCAAAATTGTAACTTTTGTTGCAATTAATAATAATAATTTTTTCACCACTTTAAATTTTTCTCTTCTTCTCTTTGTTGGATGATGAAGATGAAGATGAAGATGGAGAATTATTTGAAGGTTTGCATTTCTTTTCTTTTTCTCTTTTATTGCTTATTAGTGTAGATTTATTTCTATGCTTGTAGTTTAGATTTTATTTTCTTGTTAAATAGCCAAGAGGCTAGAACCCTCTTGCCTTAGATTTATTTCATGCTTATAGATTAGATTTATTTCATGCTTATAGAGTAGATTTATTTTCTTGCATTTAATTCTTGCAATTTTATTTTGTAGTTTAGATTTTGCACTTTATTTTGTAGTTAGATTTTAATTTCTTATACTATTCACCTTGAGGCTAGAACCCTCTTGGGTTTAGTTTTTCTTTTTGTTTATTTTTATTTTGTTTGATTCGCCTTTAGGCTAGAACCCTCTAGGGAATCACCCTTTTCTAAGAAGTGGGTTCAATTGTAGATTACCCATATCTATAATTGAATCCACCATCTTTAATTTCTTGCATTTTCTTTTATTCTTGAATTTTGTTCTTCATTCTTGATTTTTTTATTTGTTTCTTGATTTTATTCATTTTTTTTCTCACCTTATTGATCATACTCATTCTTTTTCAAATCCACTCTCACTTACACTTTGCATCTATTTACACACCATTTTTACTCTCTCAATCTCTTCACAATCACATTCACTTATCACTCCTATTTGTCACGCACACGAAATAAGAACCAATTTTATATTTTCTCCTACAAAACACCTTCCTCGTGGGATCGATATCTTAAATACTATAACTTGACACGGTTGTGCACTTGCAACCTTTTTGGTACATGTTTATGCCGCATCAAGTTTTTGGCGCCGTTGGCGGGGACGGTGCTTAAGTAGGTTTTAATTATTTTGGTTCTTTAACTTGTGTGTGTTTTGTGAAGGAAACGCTTGGAGCTTGAAGATCGCGGATTGGAGAGCTAGGATTTGAAGATTTGCTTTCAGGTAAGTCCTCTTTCTAGTTTTTAATTCCACCCTTTAACTATTTCTTCACAATTAGAGACAATTAGGACTTAAAAAAAAAGAGATTTTATTTTTTGTTGACCATAATAAAATTCATCCTCCACTTTGACATTTACTAACAAGATAATAAATTCAAACAAATCCCCCCTTCTCATTTGTTTGATTGTTAACCCTAATTAAAAAAAAAATTTCCATCCTTTTTAGTTGCTTTTAATTCATAGGGTTGCATTTCATATAGTGTAGGAATTCACCAAGTGATTTGAGCATCTTGATTTGACACACACTTAAAAATATTTTTAAGGGCAAAACACCATAATCAAGATAAGGTGAGGGATTTCATCACCCTTTCCTTAGCCCAAAAATCACTAATTCCTCACTACACCACCCAAGCCTAATAAAACTCATTAGACGTTGGCCCCTAAGGATTCGAGCTCAATAAGGAACAAGAAATCCTTAAGTGAACCGGTTTAAGTTTTCTCAGATTAGTTGGTGTCTAAGGCAAGGTTTAGGGGTTGCGTAAAGCGCTCCGCAAGGAAAGAGGTACTTAATTGATCTTTGATCACCCTCTAGTACTATCCTTACCTGGCTAACTACCTGGGTAAAACTTTGATCTTTTCACTGTAGGAGTTTTTGGTTAGGAGCTGGTCTAGTGAATTAGGCTAAACCCTAGAATTAGAGTGATTGAAAAGTGATTGTTTTGATTTGTTTTAGTTAGGATTTTTCTTTTTCTTTATCTTCTCAAAAAAAAAACTAATTTTCTTTCTTTTCTTAAAAAAAAAATTGTTTTGGTGTATGCAAATTTGGGTTCGGGATAATTCTCATCGTTTAATTCGTGTTGAACCAATCCAAGAAATGCAAACATTGCATGGAATCAGGGAAACCACTCCGAAACTCAAAACTTCACTCCCTCTTTGACCCAACATTTTCCTAGGGAAAACACAGTTCCTTTCAATTCTCATCCACAATTTCAACAACCCAATCTGTCACATCAAAATCAGTCTCCTCATCATCAAGTTGTAACTCACACTCCTCTTGATACAGATCATGATGAACGTCTCAATTTTTTGGAAAAAGGTTTTGAAATCATTATTAAGGCCTCCACACTAGCCACGGATATGTTAACTCAAACATCCTACACGATGAACTCCTTTATGCAATCAACCGAACTCATACTTAACTCTAACACTCAATCCCTAGCTAGATTAGAAACCCATATTGATCAACTAGCTAGTTCCATAAGTGAAGTAGAGGAAGGAGAAATTCTGAGTCAACCCATGGTCAATCCTAAGGACACTAAAATGAATGCACTACAGTCAGGAAAACAGGTCGATAATCAGGAAAGAACACCT